CCTCTCTTTATGACCTCATCAGTAGGTCATTATGGTGGACACACTTGTGTACACCCTCTGTGGTCTTCCTCCAGCTACTCTCCTGTGCTATGTTTTATGGAACATCTAGAAATGTAAATTGTACTTTTGCCCTTCAGGATGCTGCCCTGAGTGACCAGTTTCCAGAACTATGAAGGTTAACAGCAGCGGCTTCTATTCTAGAAGGTTGTTGTGATTTCCTGCTCTCGCCTGCCTTCTCTGCCATGCATAAAACGCATCTTGCTACACTTCTATGATGTACACAGTTCTGTGAATGGAAGAGGAGTTTAATGACAGCATCTGCTTCGCTCATTCATAGAACTCAATGGATCATGGGAGTGTAGTAAGATGAGTTATGTGAATGGCAGAAGAGGCAAGAGAGGGCAGGCTGGTGGTAAACCTTTCCAGAATAGAAGCCTCTGCTGTTAACCTTTACAATGCTTGAAGCCAGCCGCTCAGGGGAGTATCTGGCGGCAGTGAAAGAGACAGAGCATGGAGGATTATGAGCACAAGCAGTCCACCTGCATTTAGAACTGTAATTTTTTTTTTTCAGTTTTGGACAGGAACAAAGAAAGGTTAGAATCTGTCAAGTTTTTTTTTTTTTGGGATATCCCCAATGGGGAGATTTCACTTTCTCTTTTATGTTATGGAGACAAAGTGAGGAAAATCTCTCCAATATAGGGGCCCAGCCAGCAAAACAAAACACTTTTATTAGTAGGTTTTTGTTGCTGTATACAGTGGGGCAAAAAAGTATTTTGTCAGCCACCAATTGTGCAAGTTCTCCCACTTAAAAAGATGAGAGGCCTGTAATTGGCATCATAGATAGATTTCAACTATGAGAGACAAAATGAAAAACAAAATCCAGACAATCCCATTGGCTGATTTGGAAAGATTTTATTTGCAAATTATGGTGGAATATAAGTATTTGGTCACCTACAAACAAGCAAGATTTCTGGCTCTCACAGACCTGTACCTTCTTCTTTAAGAGGCTCCTCTGTCCTGCACTCATTACCTGTATCAATGGCACCTGTTTGAGGTTGTGGACAGGTGTCTTTTATACTAATAACAAGTTCAAACAGTCACACTCCAAACTCCACTATGGTGAAGACCAGAGAGCTGTCGAAGGACACCAGAAACAAAATTGTAGACCTGCACCAGGCTGGGAAGACTGAATCTGCAATAGGCAAGCAGCTTGGTGTGAACAAATCAACTGTGGGAGCAATAATTAGAAAATGGAAGACATACAAGACCACTGATAATCTCCCTCGATCTGGGGCTCCACGCAAGATCTCACCCCGTGGGGTCAAAATGATCACATGAACGGTGAGCAAAAATCCCAGGACCACACGGGGGGACCTAGTGAATGACCTGAAGAGAGCTGGGACCAACGTAACAAAGGCTACCATCAGTAACACACTACGCCACCAGGGACTCAGATCCTGCAGTGCCAGACGTGTCCCCCTGCTTAAGCCAATACATGTCCGGGCCCATCTGAAGTTTGCTAGAGAGCATTTAGATGATCCAGAAGAGGATTGGGAGAATGTCATATAGTCAGATGAAACCAAAATAGAACTGTTTGGTAGAAACACAACTCGTCATGTTTGGAGGAGAGAGAATGCTGAGTTGCATCCAAAGAACACCATACCTACTGTGAAGCATGGGGGTGGCAACATCATGCTTTGGGGCTGTTTCTCCGCAAAGGGACCAGGACGACTGATCCATGTACAGGACAGAATGTATGGGGCCATTATCATGAGATTTTGAATGCAAACCTCCTTCCATCAGCAAGGTCATTGAAGATGAAATGTGGCTGGGTCTTCCAGCATGACAATGATCCCAAACATACCGCCCGGGCAATGAAGGAGTGGCTTCGTAAGAAGCATTTCAAGGTCCTGGAGTGGCCTAGCCAGTCTCCAGATCTCAACCCCATAGAAAACCTTTGGAGGGAGTTGAAAGTCCGTGTTGCCCAGCGACAGCCCCAAAACATCACTTGCTCTAGAGGAGATCTGCATGGAGGAATGGGCCAACATACCAGCAACAGTGTGTGCCAACCTTGTGAAGACTTACAGGAAACATTTGACCTCTGTCATTACCAACAAAGGATATATAACAAAGTATTGAGATGAACTTTTGATATTGACCAAATACTTATTTTCCACTATAATTTGCAAATAAATTCTTTCCAAATCAGCCAATGTGATTGTCTGGATTTTTTTTCTAATTTTGTCTCTCATAGTTGAGGTCTACCTATGATGCCAATTACAGGCCTCGTCTCATGTTTTTTTTTTATTTCAATGGTTTTTATTAATTTTTTAAATAATATAAAAGAGAGGCAATAAAACACGCCCACGCAGGGGCTATCAATTGCACAGATAAAAAAAATGCAAAATAAAAAAAAGGAAAAACAGTGCTCTAACGCCAATGGGGCAAAAGGTACCCCACGCAGGGGCTATCAATGGCTCTCTTATCTTTTTAAGTGGGAGAACTTGCACAATTGGTGGCTGACTAAATACTTTTTTGCCCCACTGTATGTGTCTGGTTTTTTTTCTCACTTATTGTTATGTAACCTGGAAGGAAGCTAGAGGGATTATTTTCATTGGGAAAAAGGGGGTGGGGGGGCACTAACAGCAGTGAAAAATCTAGCAGAGAATATAACCCTGCTCTCAGTGCAAAACACAAAGCATGGTTTGAGTTCTACTTTAAACAGAATCATCACAATTAGGCTTATAAAGGCATTTGGGGTTTTTTTTAATTATTTTTAGGTTATTATAACTGTGCTAGCTTACTTACAAAATATTTACTCACTTTTTTAGCTTTAATTAAATTTATCTGAGGTTTACTGGTGTAAGAGTCAGACTAAGATACTCCCTGAAGTTTGAGAGTTGCTGTGCTGTGAACCTAGCTCCTAAGTGCAAACAGTATCATATAACAGAGCCCCATAGTTGCTGTTACTTGGTAATGTTATACACATCCAGAGGCTCTGAGAGAGTATATTGTATGTTATCTTTTTGCTAGGCAATGGACAGGGCAGGAGCTATCGGAACTCGGGGCTTTTCAGCAGTGATCCATATAGAACCAAGGTGGACCAAGTTAAATAAGGGGACAAACATTATTTTTTGTAACCATAAATATGTACATTAATGACAAATTGCTTGCATATGTTCAATCACAACCAGTTTTCTTTAATTGTACATACCAGTCAAACAAGAACATTTTTTAACTTTGTTATGTTTTGTCCTTCATAGCCTTAGCAATTCATGGATTCTACCTGTTTCTGGAATTTCTTATTAAACTAAAAATTAAAGGAGCAGCGTAAAGTATTTGCCCACAAATGGGAAATGTTTACCTTCTTTAGCTATATAGGGATTGTCCAATGGCATAGCCCTCACCTCTGCAACCTGCACAGCACCACTCTTCTATCAGCCTCTGGATCTCTCTAGTTTTCAAGCAGACCTGAGTCTGTTTACCTAGCAGCCCCCCCTTCCTTAAATGTCAGCTATCATGGAAAAGCCCCCCCCCCCTTCCTTAAATGTCAGCTATCAAGGAAAAGCAACAGTAATCCCCAGAAATATACCCAGCCCACTTTCACAATGAACAATTAACCAGGTCTGCTTGCTGCTTTGCCCATACACCTACCAAAGTTACCAGAAGCAAGTGATTTTTTTTTCTGGATACCTTTTTTTTTTACTTTTTAAAGACCTAATTTATTTGTAAATCACATTTTAGTTTTCAAAATATATTTCCTTAACATTGCTCAAAAGTCATACCTGTTACATCGCATGTAATGAGGAAGAATGCTGGCGCTTACAGGAAATGTGCCATTTACATGTCACTATAACAGGGGCTAAATATCAGTTCCTTATTTGAGACTGAGAAAAAAAACATATTTCAGCATAAGTGAAAATCTAGCCAGTATGGTCATGTGAGGCTACATTGAACTTTACACCACAGTGAATATGACCATATAGCTATCACTCGTCACCACCATATCCAACTTGTTATAGATCAATTGCCATCCTTTTCTACTGCTCCAAGGTGTGCTCAGTTTATTGACTTCTTTTCTAAAACTACACTCATTCCTTGTAACGCTCCTATTTTGTTAATATTTAATTTCCTCTTCTTATTAAAGATTTTACTTGTTGATCCTGTCAGTCCTCCTGTTGGTCCTATTTACTGTCTTTTTCTGGTAACCCTGCTGTCCTGCTGCTAAATTTGCAGTGTAGTTTCTCCATCACATATGTTTATCTATTTGTTTGAGTGGTGACATTGGCACATCCTCTATTACACAGATGTTGTCGACCAAGAGATATTGCTAGCAGTGGCGTCAGGAGAGGGATTGGTGGTCACATGACCAAGAATAATTTCAGAAATTTAAAGCTATATATGAACTATTTTATTGATGAATAGGGCAAATGATAAAGGACTTGTGTATATGCTTTTTGTTGGAGCGTTGCCTAACACTTTAAGGAATAAAGAGAAAGTGGAAAGCCAAAAAATAAAGAGCACAAAAAAAAACAAAACAAAAGGTGATCCATTGCTTTCATGTCTAATTTGGTTGTGTCTTAATGTCTTTGAATAATGTGAATTATCAGGTCTGTAGCTATTTTATGATCAGTTCATTAGCATTTAGTACTTCACACTGTTCTGATTTCACAGATTCCTAATTTATTAAGTATTAGCTTAGCTTATCCATAAAGTGAGAGGATCTTCTGTGTCGCCTCCAGGATTATTTTAACTACTGAAACATTTTCCCTAACCCTTATAAGGGAATGCTTGGCATTTCATGGAATTCCCAGCGTGGAGTTCCTTGCTTGATGTGTTGGAGCAGTTATTATCTATAATTTACAGAACAAGTATCAGTCCAAGTCCTTTTGTATTGAGTGTTCTGCCTTATTGTATTAAGAATGTGAAATGTAATTCTCAAGGGTTCTCTGTTCTACCTTTTACATTATAACTCGATGATTGACATGTTCCTCTTTTAGAACCATGAATAGGCTGACGCAGCTTGAGAGACTGGATCTCGGAAGTAATGAATTCACAGAAGTGGTGAGCAGTCCATGCTAGTATTTCATTTGTTATTTTCACTCCCATGTAGTATACATTAATAGTACATAGTACACGGGAACCAAAGAAAATTATATTCAAGTATGTATTCTTAATTCAAAAAGTACCTTATTATGCTCCCAGCATTCTCAAAATCTCTAAAGTTTTTTGGGGGGTTTTTTTTTGGAGTCCAACTTCCTGTTAGAAAGTGGCTACACTCATACTTCATGGTCTACTGTATGTAGAAATACAGCCAATCTCTCTTGCTCATTCCTGAGATTGACTATGGACTATACTCTATGGGATTTGTAGTGTGCATAGAGCAGTGCACATGACTGCAACTAACGTGCCCTGGTCATTCCAAACAAATGGAAATAAGGGGAAAAATAGAGGTTTGGGTAATTATGGAGGATGTTACAAGGAGGCAGAAAAACACAGTAGGAAACAATTTATGGAAAATAGATTAAAAGAGAAGTTTTTTTTTTAATTTAACCTACTTTTTTCATGCTTACCTAGGTGGATGCAGCATTGCTACGATGCTGCACCTGTCCCCTGCCAGCTCAAGGGTCACATTAACTTTAAACCCACTAGATGTAGACCAGAAAATATAATGTTACAAAGATTGCATTGGCACTTGCAGGTGAAGTATACTGTATACCTGCCATTAGGAAAAGCAAATCCAAGATTTCAGATGTATCTTACATATTTCTAGTAATTTTAGCAGTCACTACATTTTTTATCATTATTTTTCATATTTGTTCTTTAAACAATGTGTACTACTTTCAAAATTTTTTTCTTTCAGCCTGAAGTACTTGAACAACTAAGCGGTCTAAAGGAATTCTGGATGGATGGCAATAGACTAACATATATCCCAGGGGTATGTACTGTGTGCCATACTGTTCATATATAAGGAGGGAGTGCTAAAAATTGGAAGTATCCAGGGAGTAAAGAATCGTAACAGGCATTTTTGCAAAATCTGTTTTCTAGTTATGCCAAACTGGGGTAAATTTCACTTAGGCTGTCTCTGAGTGCCCCTTTGTCAATTTCTTTCTTGTGAGAGGAATTTGCAAAGTGTAATACTGCCCTCCTTGTTTTGTATATGCCCTGAGCTCCAATTTATGATTTTTTTTCCCTGACTTGAGTGAATTGTTTCTGTTTTCCGTGTATCTGTTGCGTTTAGTTTGAGATTTATAATTGACATTGCTTTTTTTTTTTCTCAATGGTTTTTTTTTTTGTTTTGTTTTTTTTTTAAGTAGACCTTGTGCAAATTTTGCTTTGGAGATCTACAGTATAATGTATTGGTTGTATTTAATGTTTTGGATTATTCTGCAAATGAATAATATAATATAGATAACATATGTGTAACTATTTTTATTTTGTTTAATTTTTGTTACATTTTAATTCTGACTTTATGGACTGGCCATCAGTATCTTTATTGTTTGTTGCAGTTTCTTGGAAGTCTGAAACAACTGACTTACTTGGACCTTTCAAAGAACAACATAGAAATGGTGGAAGATGGCATCGCTGGGTGTGAAAGTTTACAAGATTTGCTGCTGTCCAGCAATGCCATTCAGCAATTACCAGAGTCTATTGGTTGGTATCTAGCAGGTGGATGTATGTGATAAATGAAACTTAAAGTGATACTGAAGTCTTGTTTTGTTTTGTTTTTTTAAATAGCAAACATATCGTACTTACCTGCTCTGTGCAGTGGTTTTACACAGATCAGCCCTGATCCTCTTCTGCTCGGGTCCCTCACCAGCGCTCCTGGCCCCTCCCTCCTGTCAGGTGCCCCCATAGCAAGTAGTTTGCTATGGGGGCACCCAATCAGGCACGTTCCCGAGCCACGGCTCTGCATGTCCATTCACACACACATATACAATGCACTTTAAAAAAATGTTTTCCCTTATTAAGTATTACCCATCCATGTAGTAACCTAAGATGGTTAGTTATTTAGTACACCCCTCTTATAAAGACCAGCTGTTTACTTGGCAGTCTGGAATTCAAATGTAGGGGCACTCAACAACTATCACTTTATTTTAAAGCTGTTGTTTTGTTTAAAAACCTGAAAAGAAGTCCTCCTTGAAAAGAAAGCAGTTAATTTTTACCTGTCTCATTGCCTTCTTGCTCACAGATCTTCAGAATCTGAGACACATTCCGGGTATGTCAGATGCCTGGTCGTTTGCTGCATGGTCTGGTTCCCTTTGCAGTCTCCTTTGTCCTGTAGGGGCCTGAGAAAAAAAAGCAGAGCCAAGTGAGAAATGCCAGCATCTGATACTCCCTGAAGCTGCATGCAGAAGATCTTTGAGCAAGCTATGCTATTTATATTGGTCATGCATGAAAGTGCCTGAAGTAACTTATCTATGTTGCTTGTGGTAACCACTCATATTCTTCATTCTAAAAATATGAAAGGAAGTATCTAGCAAGGGAAGTTTCTAACTTAAACTTGCTGATGTCATGACACATTTTCCAAAATTATAATTATTATTTCAAACTGCAAAAAGCGAATGGGTTAAAATACTTAGCTCTATGAGATTTGTAATGTGCTTCTTGTACTTGTATGATTTCTTGTTTTATTTTGATTGCAGGTGCACTGAAGAATTTGACCACTCTGAAAGTGGATGAAAACCAGCTCATGTATTTACCAGATTCTATTGGAGGGTAAGTTGTAGAATTTAACAAGAAAATGGCAATGTAGACTTACCAGATAGAGTTCCTCTGTATGCTAGATATTTTTATCTAGCTTCAAATATTTAGACAATGTGTAAAAAACCTTATTAATATGTTATCTGTTTACAAGGAATGAAAAGATTGTTTTAGAGTCATGTGCTTTTCCCAGGAATTTGGTAATGAATAACTTCAGTTATAGTCCACTTCGTTATCATTTGTGAAGCTTTTTAAATAATACAAGTTTACTAAACCATATTGAGAAAGCAGTGTAGGAATAGGAGCAAGCTAGTAGCTGGTGACATAAAGCCAGAATACAGTTCAAGTAAAAGTCTAAAACAAAACATACACATTCTGGACTGAGAAGTGGTGCAAAGCCACAGTCAGCTGCCCAGCAGAGGATCAACACATCTGTAAAAGTTTGACCTATTATATAGCAAGTCTAGGCAACAAAACCATTAAGGTGGAAATCCAGGCAAATCTGTAAATATGTAATGAAAATACATATTTGGGAGCGGTTTTATTTGCTAAAGGATTTGTCTTTATGTCTATCCAGTACTGTGATTTACACAGCACTGCCAGATAGCATAGTAGGCTTCTGACCTGACTTTTCTTTACTGCAATTAAAGCGGTGTTAAACTTTGCTATACGAGGTGTGTCTAGAATATAATGAGAATGAAGTTCCTACGTTTGAGAAGGGCTCTGTGAACGGTGGCTGGCCAAGGGGTGGGGTGCCAGGTATACATTAAAACACTGATCAGTTGCATTCCAGCCCTATCAGTCGAAACATTCTTTTTTTGTGACACCTGTGACACCTTGTTCATGTGCCTCATTTTAAGAAAAATGGAAGTGAGTTTGGAGCAGCAGTATGTGATAACATTTTGTGTGAAATTGGGTAAAAGCGCATCAGAAACGGTATGGAGAAGCTGCGCTATCATCTGCACAAGGGTACCGATGATACGCAGCCTTCAAAGAAGGACGAGAAGGTGTTGAAAACGAACAACGATCAGGGCGCCCCTCTGTCAAAAATGGAACAGAATGTGGATGCACTGAGGTCTGTTCTCAACTTTGACCCACGGTTCACTTTCAGAATGATTGCAGTGGAAACGGGAATTCACTTGTTCATGAAATCATGACTCAGGATTTGAACAAGAGAAAAGTGTGTGCAAAACTTGTTCCAAAGAACTTCATCTGCCCAGAAGGAACACCGTCAACTTGTTTTGAAAGACCTGTTGGACTTTTTGGAAAGAGAGACTGTTTGAGTCAAGTGACCACGGGAGATGAATCCTGGGTGTTTGAATACAATCCTGAGATGAAGAAACATAGTTCAGAATGACACACCTACATCACCTCGCCCCAAGTAAGCTCGAATGAGCAAAACAAATGTCAAATTAATGGTCATTGTTTTTTTTTACTCTGTGGCATTGTCCATAAGGAATTTGTACCTACTGGTCAAACTGTGAATCGTAGATTCTACCTGGAAGTTCTTGGTTGCTTGAGGCAAAGAGTTTTGCATATGCATCCTGAGATTGGCTCAGCTTGGATCCTTCATTATGACAATGCACTGAGTCACAGTGCTTTGGCTGTCAGAGTGTGTTTGGCTGCAAAACAATCACTCCACACCATCCACTCTACAAACACACCCTCCACCCTACATACCCGACTTTTTCATATTCCCATAGATGAAGAAGAGTTTAAAAGGACACCATTTTGGTAGTGTGGATAATATCCAAAGAGCCACTATGCAAGCTCTGAACACCATCCCACTTGAAGATTTCCAGGGATGCTATGAAGAATGGAAAAATTGCTAGGAATGTTGCATATACTCACAAGGTGCATACTTTGAAGGAGACAATGTTCAATTGTATAATTTTTCAATAAAAGAACTTTTAAATTAACATTCTCATTACGTTTTGGACATACCTTGTATACAATATATTGTTTAAATTGGGCCCTAGGAGGTTTATGCCAAATTGTGCTAGTATGCACAACATATTAGCACATTATGGCAGACTTACCTGTCAAACAAAGCCTTCCAGTGCTGCACTGTCAGCACTTCAGCTGGTCACAGATGATTCCATCTTCTCTAAGTCTTCCTTCTGGGTTCAATCTGTTTGGCTGCTTGGATGGCACGGCTGCGATGACGTCACTCCTGCACATGTACACAAAAGTCAATTCATCATAGCACAGAGCGGTGCCATAAATGTACTCTGAGCTGCATATGTGTCACTCGGTGTAGATTACTGCTGACAGGCAAGAAGAGACATTTGTAACAGAACAGATTACTAGGGTCCCTTCAGTCATAAAAAACCCTGCCTGTCTTCATTTTTCTTTAGAGTTTAATTCTGCTTTAAAGTACAAGTAACTAAATGACAGTTTGCTAAATCATTACATATCATGCATAAATGCTTTGTTTTTTTTTTAAATAGAATATTTTTTCATCTTTTGTTGCATCTCAGTGCTGATGATCTCCCATAGTGCAGGACAATGCAGGGAAACAATTGGGCAACATTGAAAGAACATTGTCCTCAAATAAGAAGTGCCTTTATGGTAGGATCACCAGTAATTATCCTAATGAAAGCTCCAGAATATAAAATATTGGAAAATACTTTTAGAATTACATTAACATCTTGAAGCTGATATAACATTTAATGATGGAATTTACATATACATGTATATGTAATTCCAATCTCCTATTCATTTTAAAGAAGAACTCTTTCTGAACTCCTGCCCTACGTGCTTCTGTCTCTGTCACTTGATGGAAAACTCTGTAAGTGTTGTTTAATTTTCTCCCATTCCCCTGCCCACTATAGCTTTTCATTGAAGGGCATTGCAGCAAAAACACTTCCCACGTGCAGGCATCCAGGCTCCCACAAGACCCACTGACATAGAATCAACCCCTGGGCTTCAGGTGGTGTTAGTCACTGCTGCTGTCTTCCTATGTGATAAACACTATTTCCATATATCCAGAGTCCGCTGGATGAGAAAGAGTTACTCCAGTGCCCTGCCCCTGTGTACTCTGAATCCTGCCTAGGACTTAGGAACTGCTGCTAAAAGTGTAAATTGTTGTGTAAGGCAGGTCATACATGATTAATTATTTTGTTCAGCCAGCATATTAAAAAAAAAACAAAAAAAAAAGAACCAATTCCTTCATCCACACATTCAGTGTGGATGGGGGAATCACTTCCACTGAGCTATTGCATTCTGCCGGCAGGGAGCCTTCCCTGCTGGTGAAATACAGTGAGTGTTTCCGATTACAGCCGGCAGCACTGATCGTTCAGAAAAAATCATACAGACTGGTTGTATACAAGTCAGTGTTGATGGGTGAATTCCTCCCATGGAGCTATTATGTTCTGCTGGCGGGGTAGAGTGGGGGTGCGGGGAGTTGTCCCTGCTGTAAGAACACAATAATTATTGCTAGCTGATAAGGCCTTTGACAATAATTGCATGGGAAAAATCCAACATGCAGGTTGTACCGAAGTCGATCGATGGATCGACTTTGATACAACCAGCCTGCCCCATAGATGGATCGATATTTGGCCAGTCCCTGCTGAACTGGCCGAGAGTCAATCCATCTATGGCCAGCTTAAAGCTGGGGGTATTACCTTATTTTTTTTCCTTTTCCTTTTTAATGTAACGTCAAATAAGTGCCAATATGAAGGAGGAAAGCTGCAGAATATGCAGTGGTGGGGGTGCAAAGAGTTTAAAAATATACATTGCTGCAGTCTGGAGTTTTGCTTTAATGTGTTCTATCTGTAGCTTTCATTAAAATAGTGCCTTGTGATCCAGCCAAGAAAGGCCTTGTTCAATCACTCCCTGTTACATGGTGACAATGCTTTGCCCCTGTCTGCTTCTTTGTTGTCAACACGCATTATGCAGGCATGCCCCACTCTATTCATCATTAGGAAACCTACCAGAACAAGTGCCATGCAACCTCAGCTAGAGTACATGTAGACAGGACTGAAGGAGATGAGCAACAGTGCAATGTAACAACATGTGAAAGACGAGAAACAAGTTTTTTATTATTTTTTTTAATCTCTGTTTTTTCTTTCCAGGCTTGTTTCCCTAGAAGAGCTGGACTGCAGTTTCAATGAAGTTGAAGCATTACCTTCCTCAATAGGGCAATTTTCCCAGATACGAACATTTGCTGCTGATCACAACTTTCTGGCACAGCTTCCCCCAGAGGTACAGTGCTTGTTTTGTTCATACTCTGTATGTCTAAATCAAATTCAAAATGAGAAAATGGCAAGCCACTCAATCCATTTTTAACTAGGTAAAAAGAAGCCCTGTGGCTGGGAATAATTCACTTTCCAGGCTTCCACAGCACTCCACACCACCTACTAGCCAACTAGTGTGGATTTGATTGCTTAGATGAACGCTCTTTTTATTCACACATGTAGATAGAGTAAACTTGTACTCAATAAAGGTCTGTTAAAGGTAAAGTTGGCAGCTACCCCAAGGTGACTACACCTGCCTTTGCTATGCTGTGTCACTGCCCTGATTTGCTGCTGTAGGGCCTCAGAAGTCCTATGGAAATACTCACTTGATACTTGGGTATTTGCTTAAGCACACAGCCCACTTGACAGTATCAGGACCTAAAGATAAAATGCAAAGAGACTGAAGGAAGAATTTTGGAAAGCAAGTGCCGTATGTGCCCCAATCTAAAGAAGCATTGGAGCTGCTTGGGAGAATGTTTAAAGTAGTATTAAATCCTCAGTGTTTTTCACCTTAACCCTTTGATCAAAATAAAATAAACACTCCCCCATAAATAGTTACCCCAGGACTTACTTTTCAACTTTTAATGTTTTTGCCACCTGCTTTCTCAGTGTTGCCTCTCTGAACTTCGAAAGTAAGAAATTCTCCTGTGCTACCTTCAGTGTGACTATGTAGTTTATATGTTTCCCGAACTTCTGTTCCTCAAAGGAAAGAGGTTAACAGTGGACAGTGCAGTCTGGAACAAGTCTGTCAGCTTGGAGGGGGAGCAGAGGAATGTCTTGCCATCCTGGGTTACGGGACTTTTGTTTCACACTATGTAAGGAGGTACAACTCTTGCATACAAGAGTGGATCCATAGGTTGCTGAGGGAAAAGAGAGCCACCATGAAACAGGAAACCAGATACAGTGGTCATGGTGCCAGCTTACATAGTTACATAGTTGGCAAGGTAATAAAGACACCATTCCATCTAGTTTAACTTGCGTAGGTGTGTGTTTGATCATGTCAAAAACATTGCCCATATTCCTGTATATTGTGTTCATCAAGATACCTTGCTTTAAACTGGATCGTAGGCAACGATTAAAAAATAAAATCGCTACAGTAAGTGATCAACTGCTGAAAGCTGCTTAGAAATTTAGAGTTTAATATAATTTTAAAGCTGAAATCCATAACAGATATGTGTGTATTCTTACTTAAAGCGGAGTTCCACCCAAAAGGGGAAGCTCCGCTTTAAAGATTGGTCCCAAGCTCCCCATTAAGTTTCGGCAACTTTGGCGAGCGGGTACCCGAAATTGACAGGTATCCGCTTCCACTGAGATCGCCTAGGTGATCGGAAGCAGAAGTTGTCCTCCTACCCTCCCTCCCTCCCTCCCTGTCTTTTTTGGGACACATGACTCGCGCATGTGCAGTGGGCACATGGCTGTGAAGCCGCAACCTGTCACAGCAGGGTGCCCACACTGTAGATGCAGGCGCCTGGAATACAGGACGGCCGGTGAAACGGGCGGGGGCAAAGGGGGATTGTGGGACAGGCGAGTGGCTGTTTTTTAAAAGTCAGCAGCTACAGTTTTTGCAGCTACTGACTTTTATTTTTTTTACAGTGTGAGTGAGTGGAACTCCACTTTAAGTCTTGGTGTCCTTTGGGTATTTTTTTTACAGATGTATGAATTATTTCCGAACAACTCCTGCACTTAGCCTCTGTGCAGAAGTTTCCTGTACTAAAGATCGATTAGTGTGACTCTCGCCCCTTGTATTGGGTGACTGGTCTTGTATCTGCCCCCTTATAGTTTTTTGCAAGGAGCCTGTAATGAGTGGACCTGCTGGGTCCTTCCCTAAGCTCTGCTCTCCGTACATGATATATTCAGTACAATGATGATGTCATTACTATGATACAAATGTTTTGATGGAAAATGTTCCCCTATATTTCTAGTCCAGTGAAAATCTGTGGGTTTTCCATGCTTACAGTTCTGATCAGTAGTAACCAGGTCAAATAAGGGTGGTTAACACCATGGAATGTGTGGTCATCCAGGGACTACCTAAAAAACCATACACCCCCTACTTTTGTTACCTTTTCACACCTTTGTTTAGGGATGTGTAGGCGAGGCTCACGTGCATTTTACATACAATCATAAAAATGTAGGATACCTTTTACTGAAATATTTGTATATGTATTTTCTGTTTTGCTGCGGAGGAATTTTTGGAAGAGATTGCATACCCTGTCCAGACTCAATGTTATCAGCAGAAAGATGAGTGGAAGGAAGTAATAGGCCTTTTCATATCCATTTATGTTCTAACAGTATCTGCTCATGACCTTGTTTACTTGCCATGGAGGAAAAAGTTTGGCAGGTCTGATAAATGGTCTGTGCGGCCTTTTAGAATTAGACATTTCATCATGACAGATTGAGCTTCAGATGAAATAGATAACTAGAGAGCAGCCTGCAGCAAGTAAATAGAATGCTGTAGCTTGGAGTAATTATTTGCTTGCTAAAATTTCCTTTTTTCCCCCTTTTTTATTTTTTCCTTTTTCCTAATCTTGTTCTGGTCTTCTCCTAATCTTTAGCCAGAGTTGAAATCTTGGAGAGGCAATAAGGTTCCTCTCCAAAATGTATTATGTGCTACCTACATATTCTTCATATACCAGTTTCTGCTGTTCCATAGCAAGATTTCCCACCCATTGAAGATATATTGCCCCTCTGGCCTGCTCCCAGCTCTTGACTATAAAGTGGCTGTAAAGGCAATTTCTTTTTCCAAAATAATTACATGTCATACTTACCTGTCGGTACTGCCGTGAGCTGCCTCTTACCTCCTCTTCTGGGGTCCCGTACTTGTGCTGTCCGCTCTTTCTCTTCTCCGAGTGCCCCCATAGCAAGCTGTGTGTCCATAGACACACACAGCATGGGTTGACCACACCACCGCTGCCTCCGCACGGGATTTGATTGCTAGCAGCAGGGTCCAATGACTCCTGCTGCTGCCTTTTGTCCTGTGAGAAGAGCGAGAGAGAGCAGGTCTGCTGCAGATGTGCACAGGGCTGTTTTGAAAGAGGAGCCAAGTAAGTGTTTAAGGGGGGTTTGGGATGAGCTGATATTGGAAGATTTTTTTTTTACCTTAAAGTAGTTAAGTTAGCTACTTTAAGGTAAAAAAAGTTAAATGTTAAGTAACATTATATACATTTTTAAATACATAAATATGAACATTTAATAAATCCATCTTTGCATATAAAAAAAAACTTTCCTAGATATTCTTTTTCTAGCTTAGAATCTTCAGTTCACATGATCGCTTGTCATCTCTGAGAGGGTCACAGAACTGTGGATGGATTAATCTACGTCTTGGCATCACGTCAACACGGATTTTCTTAATTATATAAATTATTTGGCATAGTTTCTTATTTTCTAAGTCACAATGCAGGTCTCACCTGTTTGCTGCTGTCTCTGCAGATCGTATGTCTGGGAGACACAGATGAGGAGGATTGGCTGGATGGGGAATCTGCTGTCAATCAAGGGAGGAGGGATGGGTGGGCGTGTGGCTTTACACTGACCACGGAAGTACTGGCAGGCTGTGCATGGCACAGCCTGCCTATATCTAAAAGCAGCATGACAGAACACGTAAACTGACCACGCTAGCATGGATCGGCCTCTGTGCTTAGCATGGTCAGTTTGAAATCAGAATGAAAAGCAGTGGCTTGATCAACCAGGTAATTTAGAATTACTGAATGCACAAATACACTATTAATATAAAAATGCGCATAAGAATACCTTAAAGTGACAGATACATGCATTTTTATTTTAAAACAGAGGATGCATTAAGGTAAAAACCTTGTGCCTTTAGAACCAATCATCCTCTCCTTTATTACCTTTATTTTTATACTGCCTTATATTAACAACTTTTTTATTTTTCCATTTTTTTTTTAAGTTCCTTTTCCCTTACTTGTCTATGATACAGTATATCTATCAATTTAGCAGTATTTCATAGCATTAAGTTTAAATTTGTTATTTGTGTAGATTGGAAACTGGAAAAACACCACTGTGTTATTCTTGCATTCAAACAAATTGGAGTCCCTCCCTGAGGAAATGGGCGATATGCAGAAACTCAAGGTCATTAATCTGAGTGACAACAAGTAAGTCATGTTTTTTTTATGAATTTTGGAATGTTTGCCTCAAATATAAATGTTTTCTTATTTCGTAAGCAAAGATTATCTGATGTTAAATTATATAAAATGTATACATGAGTTCAAAATAACTTGGTTGCCATTCAGATTAGCCCATAGTGGGGCAGGATCGACATGCCTTGTTTCCCCTTGGTGCTTTACTGCTGCCGGCGCATTAATTCATATGATATGACAGTGCCCTAAATTATTCTGATACTGGTCAGCTGTCTTTTAAACTACTAAGGACTTGTGCTCCATTCAGCTACCGTTTGACCATAAGATTGCCCTCCTGAGCATTCTCCCTGAGACCATCATCATGTAACTTGCTGCTAGAGAGTTTGCACCTCGCACCTTTTTACAGTGGATTAACGCAGGCAATGCCATTTTAGAGAGAGAGAAAAACATGTCAACATAGGGGTTGTCTTAAGAAGTATAAAAAAAAATCTGGTCCTCCTGGCTATCGTCTCCTTCGCTGGCCTGCTTTTCCATCTCTTCGAGGGGCGGACTGACCATTCAAGCACTCGGGCACTGCCCGGGGTCAATAGGGGGCCCCATGAAATGCCCCTGGTGCCTTTTATAGGCATTTTTGGGTGTGCTTTGAGCGTGGGCAAGGACACAGGAACTGCCTGGGGGCCCCATGAGTTATCAGTCCGCCCCTGATCTCTTCCCTATACTTGTTTAACTGAAAAATATTTGATCTATTAGTCCTCATTCACACCATACGTGCAGAAAAACTGATAGCAAAATTACTCAGATGATGGTGGTGTGAACAGGGCACACGGAGAACAATTCGTTTCTTTGTTCCCTTGCAGAACGTGTGCAGAAAAACTCACTTCTCTGCTTCTCTGAACTTGTTTAACTGCTATTCTGTATGTTTGTCTGTTTTTGTGCTCTATAAACCAATCAAAAAATGTATTAAATATTTCAGGATTCAAAAAACAATTTAACCCATAAATGCCAAACTACATACAGGCACAAGTCGCCTTTCAGCGGAAGTATAGTATGAAGCATGAGAAATACTTGTAGTTTTTAAAGTGATGTTTTATTTAAATATGAGTGATTTCCATCTAGGGCTGAAACAATTAATGGACATACTAGATTATAAAATAGTTGTCAACTACTTTCAGTATCGATTCGTTGGTCATCAAACTAGTTGGCCTGCATACAGAATGCATTATTTGTTTACACATCAGGAAAAACAATGCAGCACAGATACAGCTCAGTACACCTTTCAGACATGTTGGTATACACAGTGCAGCACACATACAGCTCTGTACATTCTGTACACCGTCCATACATGTTAGCATACACAGTGCAGCACACATACAGCTCAGGACACCGTCTATACATGTCAGTGATTTAAAGTGATTTTAAAGGCGGCAGTTTTTTTTTTTTTTTTACCCTAATGCATTCTATGCATTACGGTAAAAAAATAACTTCTATCACCATATACTATATGCAGTATATCTCTTTTGTTATTCTCAGAGTGGATTAGATATTTTTTTGTTTCCGAACCATATAGCTGGTTATTTATGTTTACCACTGCTTATAGATCTCAGGTGTCAAACACAAGGCCTGCTGGCTGAATCCGGCCCTCCAGGCCATTTCATGTGGCCCTTGCACCTCTCCTGCAGGTACCCCCTTGTCTCAGCAGTTGGCAGCAGAGAGGAGAACTCCTCTGCCAAATCCTGCACCTCTCAGTGCAGTTGCAGCACCCCCTCATCTCTGCCTCCCCTGGTCTCAGCATTCAGCAGATCCTGGTAATGACTGCCTTCCTCTTCTGGTCCTCCTCCAGACCCTGCACTTTCTGCTTTCCAGCTCTGCCCCCAAAGGGGGTGCACAGTGATGTTAGGAAGAGTGTGGGATTCTTAACATCTGATGTAATGGGGGGAGTGCTCTGGACATGTAGTCTTACATATAAAGCCGGCCCTTTGAGGGCAACCATAATGCTGATACGGCCAGCGATGAAATGGAGTATAACACCCCTGTTATAGATAATCAAGAATAAATTGTCTTTTTTTTTAAAACATAACATATGAACAAAAATTGTACACCACACATTTTTCAAGGTTTTTATCTGATTAATTGAAACAATAATCAGACAACTAATTGATTATGAAGATAATCGTTAGATGCAGCCTTATTTCCATCTTATAGCTTGTGTTTAAAGAGCAGACATCTTATATGCTTTACGAACCTAACTGACTACATAGAAATCTATATGAACTGCAGTGTCTGAAGGCCGTGCCACAGCAGACGCAATTCATTTGTATGGCTTTTCTGCAGCTCTAATCTTCTAAATAAATGTGGGGATCTACATGTACATTCTGTATAGGATGTTGTGAGGACATCATAAGGCAGGCCCGTGCCTAGAACAGCAGAGTCATGGGGACAGCACGAAGTACATTTTACAACCGGTCATTCAAATAATATAATTTTTGCTTTGTTCTTCCACCTTGGAGAAGAGTTGCTTAATCCAGCAGCAGTACTGCAGGAGGTGGGGAAGGAGAGCAGACACTGATGAGTAAAATCACAAGATTCTGTGTAGCTCAAGGAATATACAGCATCGTTCTCCTTTTCGTAATGTGGAACAACACTGCATCAGAACACCATAAACCAAAAACGCAATTTAATTTATTTTTAATATTCAGGGCAAACTGCCCCATCTATCCATGTCTCCATGCTTTATTTTGCTAAGAAATCATTTTAAAAAACACTCCCTAGCATTTTGGCTGTTGCCATCTTGAGTAAGAGCAGATGATTTATGTAGCATTTACCTTCTGGAAACCATCTGCCCTTAGCTCAGGCAGGTGGGTGTGCTTAACTGAGAAAACTCCTCTTGAAGACTCCTGGGATGTGTGACATCATTTTTCTAGATCTGGAATCCAGGAAGTAACCAGAGAAATGTAAACAAAATTAAAACAAGTAATTTTGATATATATTTTTTTCTATTTATTTGCTAATGCTAGCAGCATAAGGATTAAAAAAAATAGCCTATGTTTATTAGGAGAGTGAAGTCGTGCTTTATGGCTCTTTTTTAGACTCCTATCCTAGTTACTACTTTGTAGAGAAGGCAAATAAGTGCCACCTGCTAAAACTCATAGGACATTACCTGATTAGAGATGTGGTGGGTGCAACTAGTTTAAAAGAGTCTAGAACATTCGCATGTGACCAGGACAGCTGATCTCTAACTAGAGTCTTTTCTTAGAAGAATTTATATAAAAGATCTTTGAATTCCTAAAGTGGGCAGAGGGGTTTGGGAACTTTTTATAGCTAGCATTATTCGGGTAAAAGATCTGTGTAATTTCCATGTTAGCTCTTTTCTATAAACCACAGAGATGTTATTGTGCTGCTGTGAGCCCTTTTGTGACACCCACACTGCGTCCGTAAACCAGAAAAATAAATTTCTTTGTTAACTTTAATAATTTTTGTGTTTCCACAGGCTAAAGAATTTGCCCTTTAGCTTCACAAGACTGCAGCAGCTCACAGCTATGTGGCTGTCAGATAATCAGGTGGGGTGACACTATCCCTGGGAGTAACCTCTGTCTTTTCCTTTTGCTATATCGCCCGCTGCTGAGGGATTTGACTTTCAGAACGAGAGAGATCTGTGTGCATGTCTGTAGAAATTTGTTGTGTGCAGTTGTATCTGGATTAGTACAACATTAGCCTGATGTGTACAGTAACTACTAAAAGGTCACAATGTTTGTTCAGAAACTTGGACACAGTCTTTCAGAATTTTGGATAAGTTCACTTTTGTTTCATATAACATAGCCCGTATTTAGAATTGCAGGAAACTCACATTCTAATTATGTATTGTTTATGGGGTCTACATACCTCCAAATATTTTATACACACATGGACAATCGGATCACTGGAGGCTGAAGGCACACAACCTTTGGTGCTGAAAGCAAAACCCTCTCTACTAGAGAGGAAAAATCTAAAGTGGAAGCTTTGTAAAAAAAGTTTCCTTATTTCCTTAGCCTTGAGTCCTGGTTTACACCAGTGTGTCTTGTCATGCGACTAGAGAGTTCATAGTCTCATGACAAGTTGCACCTCATTAGGAACTGTTCAAATTGTTGCAACTCAGAAACAAGTTCCTGCACTATTTTTGTTGTTCATTGTGACTTGCATTGACAGCTGTTAAATGAAGTCGCACAGACTGTCAGCAAGCCTCAAAGAAGTCGTACTGAATAGCCAGTTTTGAAGTAGCACGATTTCAAAACCATGGTAGACATACTATATGATCCATACCTGGAATTCCGCTTTAATTTTTATGATTAGGTGTATAGTTTATTATTTATGTTTAAGCCCAGGTTCACACTGATGCAGTGCGGAATTCACGGCGTTTTCAGTACGAGTTCCGTACCGCATCAAAATCATACCCCGTTTGTGTGATCCGCTGTGGGTGTGTATGTTAACACCCCGAAAGCGGTCCGCAAAACGCGGTGCGATGTGCAGAATCAGATTGCATAGGTGTGAATACCTATGTGATCCGATTCTATTGCAGACCCAGAAAAGGGTCCTGCACATTTTTGGTGTGGGTGCAGTGCGAATGGAGCCATAAAAAATATATGGCTCCAACCACACCGCACACAAATCGCATGTGATTTGCACAGGAATGCGGTGCAGTTCCTGTACGAATCACATGCGATTTACCACATGGCATATATGTGAACCCAGGTTTAGGGCCCATTTTTTATAACTGAAGAAAAAAATGGGAACTCAAGTGGAATGATCAGTCAGATTTTTTTTTTTTCAGAAATTTAAGCCATAAGTCCGCTAACTGCGGCCAACAGTACAGCCTTTGCTGCCCTGCAATTTTTTTGGTTTCACACATAGGTCCTGAACAAAATCTAAACAGCTCTGCTATTAGAAACTGTATGAAGTTATTTTTTAAGCTACTTGCTTTTCACTCAAGTGTCCCATGACTGAAGGAATCTGCACTGCTGGCTGTTGTATTCAGACAGTCGCAGTACCCCCGGCTACCTGAGTACCCAAACAGCAGCAGTATCTGTTAGGATGCAGTCATTGCTTGGCCGATAATTTTCCACCCCGCTCAGTAGACAGAGCCACCCATGGCTCGAATTGCAGTTGATTCATGAAGGAATAGGCCAGAATTCCAGCAGTGTATGTCTAGCTTTAAAGTACTTTTGTTCAGTCTTTTTTTTATTAGAGTTCACCATTTTATTGCAACACTTCTGAAATAGTAAACATTCAATACTATTTATCACATCTAAAATGTGTTTATTTTCAGTCGAAGCCCCTCATACCACTGCAGAAGGAGACTGATCCGGATTCTCAGAAAACAGTTCTAACTAACTATATGTTCCCTCAACAACCGCGAACGGATGAAGGTAAGAATAATGGGTGTTGGCCACTTAACATATCTGAAGCAACACAGTGTCTGCTGCTATTTTCAGTTGTGCAGCACTGTTTCAATAGATGATAGAGTAAAATCAGTTAGGTTTACTTACATCTCTAAAGGACTTGCACTTAAATTCCCAGGTCATGTCAAGGGAATTATACACTACATGACTGCATTATGGCATGTGTAACAAGACAAGTAGGAAGAGTCTTCGTTGTAGAAGTAGGGTGAAGACTGGAATATAGGTGGGAACTATGAAAGCGCTGAGCAAACTGTTGGCGCTATATAAATCCTGTATAATAAAAATCTCAATGATGGTGGCCCTATGAGATGAAGAAAAATACTCAGCCCACCTCAAAGTGTGCTCAAAACTCAAAATGTGGTACTGAATAGAGTTTGGACATGTTAAAGAATAACACAGAAACAGAATATTTTAATCCTTGAAAAATAAAGTTCAAGTTGTCTCAGTCTTGGTATGGATATTTTACATGATCCATCAAGTGGATATTTCACAGGAAGTCTATGGAATATATTTCAAGCTGCAGCATTTAAAGAATTTTGTATTTGTTCTGAGATAACAATCTGCTGCATTTGATCTCCCTGTCACTGCAGACTGCTATGCTAAATGTTTGAAATGCAGATTAATCATTCTTTACCAGATGGACAAGAGAGAATAAAGGCCAGGTTGTTTTTTTATCTCTGTATTTTGATTTGTGACCAGAACAGGTACGGTGGGTGACCAGACCCACACAGTTAGGCAAGGTTTATGCATGTGACAGTGTTTGCTATCCCTCTAAAAATTGTTCTGCAGTGGATCACGTTTCAGAGGCATTTGACAGGCAGTAAAGGATCGATAGGTCACCTAACCGCCTGTTTAAACCCCGTAAATACCTCATCACCACACTGCACCCATGTGCTTTTACACAAAGTTGCAGGGCAGTAACGTTGCAGCCCCGATCACTCGAATGGGTCACATTCGGTAGTGGGATTGCTCTCGGAAAGTGAAGAGGGGAACATTTTTTACTATGGAAATGAATCAAAGCAATGTGGCCATGGCATATGTACACCCCTGTTCAGCTGCCTTTGCACCCCAAGCCCTAGTTCACTCTGGATCCAACTTTTAATTTGTGCAACTTCCCTTGAAGCCACACGATTTCAAAGTCGAATGGCAGTGCGACTTCAGGCACAGATGTCTATTCAAGTTGCACCCCAAATTGGCAAAAGTAGTGCAGGAACTACTTTTCTAATTGGTGCGACTCCGACTTCGTTGGAGTCGCACCGATTAGAACAGTTCCATTGCTGATCATCGCATGCAATTTGAACGGTCAAATCACATGACAGTTTGCATTAGTGTGAAGCAGGACTAAGGGGGGTAGTAAAAACATGATTTAACTGCCTGTTTATCTGCCTCCCCCCAATACATGTTAAAGGGTATGCGAAATTTGACCTAGCTTGATGTTATTGTGCAAGGCATACTCTTTATTTCAGTACAGGAAAAGTAATGGTACTACTAGCAAACCAATTTCAGTTGCCTTTTATTCCAAGTGCAGTTGCTATATAAGTGTGAAGATCTTCTTCAAGGCAAGAAAGGTCTTTGGACTGTCATGTTGTCTATACTTGGTATAATAAAAATTACTCATTAAAGGTGTCTACACTTTTATATCAACAGTTGGGGGCAGAGTTGGATCCCTCTCATGGCCTATTGTCAAATGGCTTTCAGTAATGATACACAGCCACACATACATCATGTTGCTGATTGGGTTCATATGCCTGAACTCAAGCTCCTAGCAAAATGGGGTGACAGTTCTCCTTGTATGTTATCTGATCTTGTAACTTTAGGAATAGTCAGCCGGTGCAAGAGAAGAACAAAACAAGACAGTTTGCCTAGTGGAGCAGGAATTAAAATAACAACCCTTGTGGGAGCCGAGACTTGCACTTAGCAGAGGCTTCACATTTGTGGCAATTTTTTATCCTGGCAATGGCACTTAACACATCTTTAGGAAAAAACATTCCTGTACTGGGAGTAGTTTAAAATCAGTAGTAGCCAATTATGTGCCAGCTGCTCGACTCTTGCTGTCTTCTCCTCTGGTAAAGCTTTAAAGCACTAATTAATTTTTCTGCCCTGCTAGCTCAGTAAGCACCCCCTGACCCCCAGTTCACTGTAGGACAGGAGAGGGCGGAACTAGTGAGTCCCCCTAGCTGGGGGGACAAAAGGAATCAACACTCCTGGAAGTGTTAGTTTCTCATTGGACTTTATGGGATGAAAACTCTTGAACAGCGCAATGTTCCTGGGAAAGGGGAGCTTTTATGGACGTCTTTTGCAGGTACAAGGTCAGGGTTGCTTTGAAGCTGAAGTTTAGTCAAAAAAAATTTTTTCTCTCTATTAGCTGCAATTGCATTGCTTACCTGTAATGATGTATATCCCACGTCATGCAGGCAGCTGGATTCTGTAGAAGTCGTCTGTGCAGGGATTACTAGTCCTCTTCCTGTGCAGTTGCATCGCTTACCTGTAATGATGTATGTCCCACATCATGCAGGAAGCTGGATTCTGTAGAAGTCGTCTGTGCAGGGATGCCTAGTCCTCTTCCTGTGCAGTTGCATCGCTTACCTGTAATGATGTATGTCCCACATCATGCAGGCAGCTGGATTCTGTAAAAGTCGTCTGTGCAGGGATGCCTGGTCCTCTTCCTGTGCAGTTGCATCGCTTACCTGTAATGAAGTATGTCCCACATCATGCAGGCAGCTGGATTCTGTAGAAGTCGTCTATGCAGGGATGCCTGGTCCTCTTCCTGCGTTGAACACGCTGCACTGAAAAAGTAAATGGCCTTCTGTGAAAAAAGTCTAAGGGAGACCGGCCCCCTCCTCCACTTTCATCCATTGAGAAATATAGGGAAGCATCAGAAGAATGAGATTATCTCCCCCATTCACAGATCATGTTACATGCAGTGTAATCAGTGCACAGGTGTTTCTCAATGAAGGAAGAAGTGGGTCCTTGTCAGATCTTTTTTGCTGCAACTCACAGAAAACTCCGCTCTATTAACTTCCTAAGTGCCAAAAGTCCAGCATCAGTAAGAGTAAGAGAACGTACAGATTTCTACAGGATTCAGCTGCCTGACAGACGGGGAACATACTTTATTACAGGTAAATGTAACGGCCGATGTAGGAGAAAAACTCATTTTACTTACGGGTCAGTAAGTCAAGGCATTGAAGCAAGAGGGTCAACATGGCTTCCAGGTAACTAGCCTATTTTTTATAAGGCGAGATGATCAATGGCAGTCTTCAGGTTTCTCTTACGAAAGGTATGTTTTAGCTGACACAAAAGCAGATTTACAACTGTATCATTTATTTAATGCACTGTTTGGCATGTTAAAGTAGTTTGTTCATCAGTGTAGTTTAAGCCTAGGTTTTCTTATATATGGTGCGGAAAACGCAGTAAATCCTTTGTGTTTCCTGCACCACATCCAAATCACACTGTGTTTATGTGATCTGTTGTGGGTGTCATGTTATGTTAATGACACCCCAAAAACAGGTAACCAAACGCAGTGCGATTGCCAAAATCGGATTGCATGGGTCTAAACACCCATGTGATCCTATTCCAGAGCTACGAAAAAAAAATTCCTGCACCTTTCTGCAGTGCCGTGTGATTTGAGCCATACAAAGTGAATGGGCTCAAATTGCACTGCAAAGAATTGCATGTGATTTGAATAGGAATGCAGTGCGATTCCTATCCGAATCACATGCGGTTTCCTGCACTGCATATGTTTGAACCCAGGCTCAAGACTATCTACACCAAATGCTTAACTACTTTATTTTAAAAAATAAATGAACCACAACAACCCATCTGAAATGGTGTCTTAAATCTTCTGTGATTAGTAGTCTTGCCATTGGTTCTGGATTCTGTTTTGAGAGAGAGTAATGCTTTTTGTATTTGTTTTGCAGTTATCTTCTCCTCTGACAATGAGAGTTTCAACCCCTCTTTGTGGGAAGAACAGCGGAAACAGAGGGCTCAGGTTGCCTTTGAGTGTGATGAAGACAAGGATGAGAGAGAAGCTCCAGCACGGGTAATACTTTTGTGTTACGAAGCATTGCTATATATCAGTGGGGTAACCTGAAGCAGTTGTGCACAGTGAGAAAAATCTGCCCAGAAAAAAAGGCAGCCATGTCATTATCCACCATATTTGCAACCTGCTTAGGTGACAAAATCCTTACATATGATGCAAGTTGTTTTTTGGGAGTTTTTTTTTTTTTTTTGGTTTTTATGTTTGGAGGAATTTAAAGTTTTAAATGTAAAATATGCTTGAGGTGATTGTAGCCGTATATCAATGATTAATGGGGTATGGTTTCTTCTTTGAAGCCTTAGCGAAAATTAATGCTGACCATACAAATAAGGCTTAGGAAATTTTGATTTAAAGTGTTACTAAACCCACAACAGTAAAATCAGTCTGTATATGCATGCTTTTACACTTACTGAGGAACCTAAGAGGTTAATCCTCTGCATTGTGAAAAAGGCCATTTGTTCCTGATTGTTCTGTTCCTCCCCTTGTTTAAGTGAGCACCTCTTATCTCCTGATAAGACAGACTGAATGGTAGTAATTTGCACTTGCTCAGGTTTTTTTTTTGTTTTTGTGATCAGCACAGTGCCAATCAGCACTGGTCAGACAGAGGTCAGGGGTTTTGCATCCTCCTAGAGCAGAAAGAAAACTCCTACAAGTTTTAGCTAGTGCTTGGCTGGACACTGATAGAAGCCACAAGACTGCTGATGAGAAAAGGTATTAAGCAGTTTATATTTTCTAAAATAATTGCACTTCCATGTTCTGTGTACTGTGGGATACCAGATATAGTGAATGCAGGGTCCTGGGTTTAGTAACACTTTAAGAATTGCATGCACATTCCAGTCTCCCTCAATCTGTCCTATATGAATCCCTCTCTCGTTTTACAAGTGGGTGGAGTTAGGAATACCTAGCATGCAGTTTCATATGGCCCAGCAACAAATGTTCTTGGCACACCAGATTACTAGCAACAGTGGTAATTTAGGTTGCAGGGTTGTGGAATAAAATCATTAGTGCTAGAAGGTAGATATTTCCTTTTTTTTTCTTTTTCATTTTGTATTGGTTTGTCAGTCATTAAGTGATCAAAGCTCCTTGAGCAAGAATATATTCTACAACACATTATGTGAGTGTCTTCTTTTCAATTGTATGATTTTCTGTACTCCAGGAAGGAAACTTGAAGAGGTACCCAACCCCATACCCAGATGAGTTGAAGAACATGGTCAAAACAGTTCAGACTATTGTACACCGGTTGAAAGAAGAAGAGAAAGGCGAGGAGGCCAATAAAGAGCCAAAGCAGAATGAAGTACAACCTCTCCTAAAGGACCCGGTGGTGAAGGTAAGATATTAATTCTGTAGAGTTTCATCTCATGCCAACATTCAGTTACTCTCACTTTTTAAGATAAAAGTTGGCCAATCTTTTGCTTTCTGTGTGTTGATAGGTAGGTTCAGTATAAAGTATGCAAACCGTACTGCACGTTAGAGCCATTCTGCTCTCAGTGTACTGTGTGGTATCGTTTTCTTACCTTTTGAACTATTTCCCAATACTGATTAAGTCAGGAAAGTAAATTACCTGACTGAGAGACAATTGAGGTGAAATCATATTCCTCAAATGATGAGGCTCTCAAATTATATAGAACCAGCAAACACAAATGCTCCTGCGCTTGGGGATGGACTCGATGCTACAACCACATTAAGAATGTCCTGGAACATGCACTCCTTGCTGCCCTCAAATGGACCGGGGGAATCCAAATATACTGAATGGGGAAAGAACAAAAAGAGGGCGCACAGGCCTAGTGCATTACCATAAAAAATGTTTAATAAAAAATAATAAAGTAGGTGTTGTACTCACAAACGACAATATAGTCAAGGCACATCATAAAAGAACAGCTGGATCAACACCGCGCTGAGTAACAGTCCGCAATAGGGAGTTTAGACATCCAAAAGGCTGACGCGTTTCGAGGACTTGCCTCTTCCTCAGAGCCTGTTTTGTTCTTTCCCCTCTCAAATTATATGTTGTGACTCCAGTTGCTTTCTTAATACGTTCCTCTTATTAGCTTGGGCTGGCATACTTTTTACAAAAAAGGGAGCAAAGGAGATCTAGGAAAACTTGTGAAAAGAAGCATAAAACTCCATCTGCTGCTTTGACATAAGAATGTATAGTATGCAGTATTTCACAATTGTCTCCTACCCCAAAAAATTTAGTGTAACCTTTTTATTTTTCACCTTCATTAACAAACATTTAAAATATGTAGAACCACACAATGCATTCCTTTAAGCTTATTTACCCCAGGTGTTTTTGCATTGAAAATATGTAATGTGTTTTTTTTTTAACATGGTATTTGTTCCTTTTTTTAGATCATGTATTGTAGAGTAGTGTTGATCAGTAGTTGAACTGAGGTGGAAAATATTTTATTAGTATTTCAGAAAATCAAGTTATGCATAATGTCCGTTGTCCCATAAATCTACTTCAACAACACCCTGATTCTAATGTGATTTGCCTTTGTAATAGCTTTTATTTTACCCATGCTTAATTTTATTTGTGTCTAGACACCGGAGTCTGCTCCAACTAAACCCGAGGATGAAGAAAAGGAAAAGCTCCATGTCGGGAACTGCATACAGAAAGCAAGTGATCCAGAAACTCAAAATAGCATTGAAAATTCACAGCCGAATAACCTTGTTAAAAATTTCTGGAATGCAAAAACCATTGTCAACCACGATGAGACACTTGAGGTATGGCTCTGTGTCTTCAGAAAGCATTGTCTTGTTGATTTTATAGCCTTCAGTAGTTTAACATAGTCTACATTACTTAGAATTTTTGTTTAGGAATGTGTCAATGGATAAGTCTCTAACCACCCAGAGCATAACATAGAACATTTACTCTACACAGGAAAAGAGACTCATCCTATATGTTTGAGAAATGACAGTAAAGAGTGGAATAAATTTTGACTTTGGAGCCTAAAAAGTTGAGTGGAAAACATAGTCTGTGTTTACAGTAATTGAGAAATATGGAGAAAGAACAAAGTGGTAGCAGTTTTGTAGCTTTATCCTTCTGCAGGATTGGCATGGCAGTAAAGGTTATATGTAAACTAACGGTTATACAGCTACAGTGGTCATTCACAGCTTTGCCAATGCAGGTGTCATGTATGGCAAGTACATAAATCCAGTATGTTTTGCATCATGGCTAAGTGTAAAGATTTCTTAAAATGGAAGATAAGGCCAGTACTAACTATTCCTTAAAATGCACTGCCCCCCCTACTCCTACCCATCCTGCATACCCTGTGTACAGAAGATCTGCACACTTACCTATTTTCAACCCAGTCCAGTCACATGGTCCTAGAGCTCAGGCTCTCCTTTGAAAGTGAGTAGTTGCTGCAGCAGGGAGAGGTGGGAATGCCGAGAACGGCTGGGTCATGGGAGCCTATAGGTGGCATCACATTTCCAGGAACTCACAGCTGTTTTTGTGCACTCCCTTACACAGGGGAGCCAGAGCCACAGGGTTCAGGTGACCAGACCAGATTAAAACAAGGGAAGTATACAGATCTTTTTTTATACTGGGTATGCAGGATCGGTAGGAGGAGGGGGAAGGAACATTTTTAAGAACAGTTAGATATAACCTTTACTACCACAGAAAATAATATTTAGTGAATCTGTTGTAAAGTTTGTTACCCAGAAATTCTTCCAGCAACGGCAGGGTGATGCTGCCTCGCAATTTGCAGCTTAACGTTTCCTGTATGTCTGCTGTGCAAGCTAATAGTAGGTTCTCTAGTAAAGAAACTTTGCAACGGATTCACAAAAAATATATAATCAAGGAAACTGTATAGAGTGAAGCATAATGAATGATAGAATTAGGATGAATACACTTTAACCCCTTCACACCATTCACTTTAATCTCTTAACACCTGATGTATGCATGGCAGTGGGTTTCAACACTGAGCTGCCACATAAATGTGTATGGCTGGCATCATTTGTTTGTGCTGGGATTGCACTCATTCAGCATCCCAGTGCTGTGACTGAGCTGTCATGGACAGCTCCCAGTCACTGTTTACAATAGGGAGTCAATGGAGCAGACTTCCGATCACATGATCACAGACAGTCATTGATCACATAACCAGAAACCCCATGCAGTACCTCAGGCATTACAAACCTTTAAAGGGTTAAAGGGAACACACTCCTATTTTCTGCTTATGAACAGCAGGCAGATTTTAAGTGATCTTAAAAAAAGGTTTTGTGGAGTCCCATTTTCCTGAGAAATCCTTAAACAGAAAAAGAGAACATACTGTACATAGCAAATGATTAAGATTTTTTCATCCCTCCTTACTAGCAATTTGACACCCTCTCTACCTTGAATAAAAGGATTGGTAAACGTTGAGTATATCTCCAACTACCCTATTCTATTGTAAAGAGGTCTTAAAAAATGTATTTCAAGCTGTGCCGAGTTTGTCTTCTCTTTTATGGAAATAATTCAATATTTCACGTTAATAAAGTTTAATGGTATGTTGTTTATAGCAAAGTCTGATTGGCATTTAACATCCTATATAGGGACTTTGTACAACAATCAGGAGAATTGAAAGAAGAATGCCAGGGTATAGTGTGTATGTATAGCAGCCCATGCTTTGTTATACATGTCCTGTGCTATTGATGAACTAGGAAGCATAATATTAGAATGCTAACCTCTAATAACAGAAGCAGTGAACTGTAGAGTAGAACTGAAACCTTTTATTGGGAGATAAAGACTGCAGTGTTTTGAGCCAGCTTGATTCTCTTCTTTCAGGTACAGTAAACCGTATGATAAAGCCCTAAGACAGAATTTGTCAGGGCGAATTGTCTAAGTTGCCCTTGGCACTCATTTACGTTCTCATTTTCATTCCGCCAGTTTGAAGATGAAAGTGGGGCACTGATTACTTCTAAAGTTACAAGCCAGTAACAGAGGCCCCGAGATCATGGTGTCAGTAACAAGAAATGCTTTTTGAGATTGCAGGTGGCATTTTACAGGGATGTGTAAATGAGATAAACTGCTGAGGGGTAAAGAAAAGTTGCTGTTGACATATACATACATGATTTATGAACACCTTCATAGAGTGGAACTGTACCTAGGCTGTCAGATATTATATTTTCTTACTTTGGGAAAATTAAAATATTTGATTTGTTGTTATGAGGACAACTTCACTGTCACCATTGCAACCAAGCAATCAAATTTCATTTTTTTTTAATGTTAGGACATCTGGTTGCTGTGGACAACAGTTTCAATTTACTCCAAATCACTGCAACTCCAGCATCTTGATATATAGGCAACAAAGTGTTGTTGCCATGTTTCATTTTTCAAGCCATGTTTCCTAAAAATAATTATCCATTTCTTGAATTTTTGCAGCAAGAATCAGAAGATTTGTCGTGTGATGAAGAGATGAAGATGGCTGAAATGCGGCCGCCGCTTATAGAGACTTCCATGAATCAACCGAAAGTGGTGGCACTGAGCAACAACAAGAAAGGTGAGCTCTGTCATACACAGCCCAATAAAACATGTGATTTGATAGATTCAAATGCTGCATGTAACAGGTGGACTTTGCATTGGTTGGAATGTTTGAAGCACATGTTAAAATGTAGAAATTAATCTCTCCCTCTTCTATGAAGAGTACTGATTAGATATTTCATTAGAAATCAGAGTGTACAATACTTACAGTTAGGTTTAGCAGATCCCTTACTGCTTGCCTTTCTGTAGGAGATATCTGTTCACCTGTAAGTCCCTACTCCAGCATGCATTTCCTGGTTCCCAGAGCCAAAGGAGTAACTCAATATGTAGAAACTTGCTTAACCACCCTGGAGGTATTCCCGAGTGTAGCTCAGGGTTAAGTTTCAGTACCAGAAGCGGTAACCCCGAGCTACACTCGGGATTACACTGCAGCATTGCTCTGGGATCCCTGGATCACTTACCTTGTCCTGTGGTCCCGCACTGTTCTCCCGCTGCATCCCCGGCCATGTCCTCCAGCCGATGCCAGCATCCGTCTTCCCACTTCCGTTCCCTGTGAGCATAGGGACATATGGGGGGACAGAACCAGCGGGAGATTCAAAAATGTCAAAATTTTACATACACGTAAAATCTGATAGTATTACATTCCTGTATCAAACCATTTCACATACATTTTGTCCCGAGTGCTTTGTCCTGTGCCCTGCCTGCATTTTTACCGTTCTTTCTGCCTGGAAACTGAGAAATGTCCATGGCGTCCAAAAAGCGTCCCTTTAGGTCAAAAGCAGTTTTAGACCGGCTAGAGAACAGCGATAGTAAATTAGAACTACTTGCAGAATTGAGTGATAAGGATTCGTGGGGGAAATTCGTCATCAGATACTGAAAGCGATTTTGTGACTAAGCTCAGTGATGTGCGAACTTGGCGCTATATTTCATATTTCAGTGTTTTTGGTTTGATTACATTATTGAATAAAATGTATTATTATATTATTTTTTATGATTATTTATTAAATTATGATTTTGTGTTTAAAATTTTATCATACCCGGAATGTTTACTAGACTCTTGTTCAGACAGATTTCAGTGAGTTATTCCTAAGAATTACAGGCCTACAATAAAAAAACAACATATTTCCATTGAAAACAATGTACCGCTTTGAGCACAGAAATACTGACATAATCAGACCGCTAGGGAGGTAAAAGTGTCTGTGAAGCCAAAACATTTTTTTATGCTGTGTATAGTGAAGAAGGTTTAGAACCCCTGTCAGGTTTTTTTTTTTGTTTTTTTTTTTTTTTACCACTATTCAGGGATCTATTGGAAACTGTCCTGCAGCAACACAGAAATAAAAAAGCTTTTCTTTAGCAGTATAGAAAAAGGCTATAAACCCCTGATTTTTACTTCTGTCGCAGATTTTTCCTCATGTCCTGACTGGTAAAACCTTTGTCAGCAGGACAGGAAGTGATGCTAAAATCTCTGACAAAGCCTCAGGTAGCAGTAGAATACCAACCAGAGTTTGAAATCTTTCCCTCTCCATCCAATACCCAAAAAAATATGCTTTGGCTTGACATACATTAACTGCTCACCTTTCTAAAAAGCTAATTCAGAAATAGATGATCCACATGCTATGAATAAAACAAAAGCAAAGTCTTTATTCCATGTTTCAAAAACAAAGAATATTGGTGTCAGAAGGATCCATTCCTACATCTAAAATGAAGACAGGTTGCTTCATCTGTCAGGGTTGGCGCTGCAGTCCTTGTCTGTTCATTGCTGCTGTGCCACCGCTATATGTCATGTGTATTGTTCATTATAATTTGTCATGTGCTTTGTTCAGTATAAAGGCATTAATTTGTTCACATGGTGCTAGGAACAAATAGTGCGCAGCAGTCATCAATTTAATTAAAAGAAACTGTTAATTTAATCCTATTTGGTATAATTTGCTGTATACAACTGCTTTTTGCACTGTATTATTAAAGAAGAAAAGAAACAAACCAACTACTGAAATCACTAATAATCAGTAGCAATTTTATTTGCAGCATTTGCACTAGGAGTGTCATTAATGTCACATAATATGTATTTGTGCCTGTCCTTGCTGTACATTATGCTGATAGACTGTGCAGTTTGTAAAGGGTATAGCATGGGAGCTTCCATTGCATCCTAGAATTCCAGTTTTCTTTTTTTTTTGTTACTTGGATCTACTGAGTTGTAGCATGAGGAGCAAAACCTGCACATGTACAAGGCACTTAGGAGCTAGGAAACAATACCTTTTTCAAAAAAATAATGCTGTGGTGTTATGTGGTTGATTGGTACGCATAGTGCATAGAACTCTTCTTTAAAGAAGATCTCTGGAATAGGCAAAAAAATCACCCATTAGTAAAACCCCCTACACAAAACAATACACAGCTGATAACATTTTGAAAATCATTACCATTTAAGAAAAAAGCCTAATTGCATTTTCATGAACTCATCTCTGTAATTCAAAAGTAAGAGCATCTGCTCTGCCAAGTAGGAGGTATAACATCAGGGATTACATCATATCCTATTCTCTCTCTATGCAGTAAAAGGAAAATACAGTTCCCATAAACCACAGGGAATTGTAGTGAATGTGGGCGGGTAGACTAGGCCTGTACATGATGAATGTGTCTGAGAGTCTCAGTCTGCCCATCATTGCTTCCTGGAGAAAGAACTACAGAAGGGATGTGCCAAGACCAATGGCTGGGGGAATAAGAGGCATAGCAGCCACTGGCCTTACAAACAGGAAACCAAACAGAATTAACAGGTTGATTTAAAAATGAGTATGCTATTTCAGAACAACTACTAAGTGAATCAGGATCAATGACATGTAAAGTAATTTTTGCCCAGAGTTTTACTTTAATATTAGCCCAGTCTTCCACTTCCTTTATATTTTGTTAGATAAATTGCTGTAAACTTCTTTTTATTGTGTTTTGGCAGCTTGCCTGATGCTGACTGACTTGATTGTTTGTCTTTCAGATGATATTAAAGATGCAGACTCTTTATCGGATGAAATGACCCAAAACAGCAATCAGAACAACAGTAATTGTTCCTCACCATCCCGTATGTCAGACTCTGTCTCATTGAACACTGTCAGCAGCCATGATACTTCCCTGTGCTCGCCAGAAAAGGAATCCAGAATTGCAATGAGCATAAAATTAAGGTCTGTATGCAATATTGATACTATTATGCCTTGAGGGAAGACAGTCTACCTAATCGGGGAAGATGTGAAAAAAAACTTTAGCAAGGTGTACTGTGTACCCAGTGGTTGTCTGTACAGGCCCTCAGAACAAAGTTTGGCTTTGGGAGCTATCATAGTGAATATTTTCTATCTGTCTTGTGCTAAGACACACAGTAGGCATTCATGAATAGCAAAGATACAGTACAACTGTCTATTTTAGCTGCTTTTCTGCAAACAGAAACATAGTGTTCCCTATAAAAAAAAACTGCAATAGTTATACCGGTAACAGGTCATTTTAGTTTTCTAAGAAGGTTGCACAACCTTTAATCAAGGTAATACTAGGCCTCACAGTCTTGTGTTCTGCTTACAGACAAGAAGATGAAAACTTGAACAACCTTTTGCATAATGGGGGAAAATTGAATGCTGCTGATGAAAGAGAGATTACTGAGATCCCATCACTGGACAGTGAAGAGAACTTGGTTCAAGAGAAGAAGGTCAATAATACCGACAAACCACACAACTTGAACCAAATCAACATAAACAATAACCTTACAAATGATGAAAGCTTGCATTCGGATACTCCAAAGAGGCAGCTTATCTCACAGGAATTGAGGTCTGGAGAGGCATTTTCAAACAATAATGAGAAACAAGAGGTTGAACCGCTGGAAAACAGGAAGGCCTACCCCAATATGTGTGCAATGAATAAAGTTAATGGACACTCTGCAGATGAGGATATGTCTCCAGATATGAGTGAGCCTGTCAGGAGCGCGTCAGAGGATTCAGTGCCTTCTTTTGACATGTGTGTTTCAAAGAGCACAGATGATTTGTTTCCACAGATGGGAGAGCCTGCAGGCCCAGTTGTGAAATCTCACAGCATAACCAATATTGAGATGGGAGAGCTAAGGATCTATGACATCCTGAGTGACAGCGGCTCTCTGCAGCCATCGTATGTTGGCAAGATGGCAGCAGCAAGTGGTGAAGGACAGAATATTGTTAGGAGCAAGTCAGCAAATTTGCTGTATGATCAGCCTTTGCAGGTGTTCTCTAGTTCGTCTTCCTCATCGGATCTGGTATCCACAGGAAAGAAAACTGTGTTCAAGTTTGATTCCAACCACAACCCTGAGGGACCATACTCAATGAGAGGTCCTCCAGGGCCCCAAATGTCTGCTGTGCCTCAGTATAATGTTCAGTACAGTAGCGGTAGTGCTGCAGCCAAAGACAATTTGTGGAATCAGAAACAAATAGCCTCAATGGATCAAGGAGCCTTACCTCCTCCACGCTTCCATATGTCTGACAGCGTAGATAGCCCAAGTTACATCAAACACTCTGCCAATATGAACTTTTCTAATCATAACAACGTGAGGGCCAGTAACATGTATGGTGTGCACCAGAGGATGGGACCAAGGCACGTGGAGGCATGGGCAATGTCTCCGAATGATCGGCTCCACCAGGGAGTAAGCCGTAACACGCTGCAGAGACAGGGCAGCGTTTCATCTAATGCTTCTATGTCCCTGGGTGACACAGGACCTGCAAGGAGGATTGTTGTACCTGAAGGGGACTACATGACTTACAGGGACATACATTCAATGGGCAGACCTCCACAGTTGATACCAGGCCCACAGAGACCGCTCTCAGCCAGGACATATAGCATTGATGGTCCCAATGTGCCCAGACCACAGAGTGCACGGCCTTCCGTTAATGATATTCCTGAGAGAACAATGTCTGTCAGTGATTTTAACTACCCTCGGACTAGTCCCAAAAAGCCAAATGCTAGGGTTAGTTCCGAGCACTCCTTACTGGACCCCCCAGGCAGGAGTAAGGTACCTCATGATTGGAGGGAGCAGGTCTTGCGGCACATAGAGGCGAAAAAGCTTGAGAAGGTAAGAGAGAAAATTACCTTAAAAACTTCTCTTCAGAAAATCTAAAATTGCAGAAGCTTCCGTTACCAAGTGTGATGCAATGAAGAACTGTGTGTGCTGCTCATAGCTACCAGTCAGTTCTAAGAAACTTGCATTGTTTGAAAATGAAAGTCTGATTGGCTGCTGTGGACAGCACTCCATTTTATTGTAATTTTGTTTAATTTTACAAAAGATACCTAACAAAAGAGCAATGTATGTGTTGGTTTTTTAGAAGTATTCTGGTTTATATTTAAAAATTGGAAATGCTGTAGTTAAGTTAAGTGCAGACATCCAGAGGAGCACTTGTCTGAGCAGCCAAGGCTGTTATGGATAATCTTGTACATTCTGAAGTTGATTTACTAAAACTAGAGAGTGCAAAATCTGGTGCAGCTCTGCAGAGAAACCAATAAACTTCCAGATTTTGTTGCCAAAACTTAACACGTTAGAAGCTGATTGGCTACCATGCACGGATTCTGAGTGCACCAGATTCTGAGTGGCAATTCTGCACAGTGTCACAGTGTACCTCCTGCCTTCACCCATTCCTATTGGCCCATCATGATGATGGGAAGCCTCGCTAACCAACAGAACTGTGAAGGAGATCAAAAGCATCAAGCATTTTCTGGCACTTCTAGAAGTTCTGGAGCTTTGCTCATCAGAATGGCCCAGTGTTCAGCCATAACAGCAAGGTTTTATTGGTGTCTGCAGTATGCGAGGTCTGCAATTCATTCCTACAACAGTCCCCTCCAATGATATGACAGAGTTTCATCACTTTTACATGTTATTTTTTTAGGTTAATTTAACTTTGTGTGAAATACCTGAAATGGTATATAACATAGCCATATAGGGGTGCAATATAGACTATTGTTATGTTCACATTTCTAGTTCAGTGGATGTGATACTTGATGGCCACAGATGTCAGATTCTTGAGCTCTGGACTGTCATTTTTAATTGGGAGCGCATGATATGCGTATGTTTTTATCTCTGCACCAAAGTGGGTACACAAGTGTTCAGGGCCACATTCATATCTTAATATTCAGCCCCAATTTAAATATTAGGATGAAATGGCGTCTAGAGGCAGCCTGCCTCTTTGTACATAAACTGCGGGGAGGGATGAGCCGGCTCGCAGCTCATTGGAGTTTAAAAAGAGCACAAGTTTAGGTAGAGATGAAAACCTACCCCTGAAACCTAGGACACTCTTGGGGGATTAACAAAGATTGACACAGAAAAAAATGAACCAATTTCTATTTGCACACGTATTTGCTGTTTTATTTGCCACATGACAATTTGTTAATTTGGGTGACAGTGGTGCTCACTCTGTCCATAGATATCCCCCTCTCCTCCCCTTGTTGCAGTGCTGTTCTGTTTCCCCCCCTCTCCCCACTACAGTATTCACACCACTCTGGTAATGGAGTACATCTTAAATCTTTTTTAATTTAGAACATTGCTGCAAGTGTTTTATTAGTTTGGTGCATGCTATCAGACGTCAGAAACTGTCAAGTATCACTTTTAAAGGGATATGTCAGAGCTGGTGCATCAACACAATAGAACTTGTATAATAGCATTGTTGATTTGGCTCAAGATGCAGCAATATTTACACAAAAAACAACATATTTCCCTTTGTTAATCCCCTACTATTTACAGACTGTGAGTTAAGCTACACCCTTTTTTGATCTAAACTCCCTCCTTACTATCCAGAAATATACAGTGCTCAGCATAAATGAGTACATCCCAACAGATTTGTCAGAAAACCTTTAATTTCCTTTCAGAATCAACATTTTCTATGGGACACTATACTACAAAATACTCCCACAAATGCAGGCCATTGTTTGCAAACAAGATTTGTTATTTTGCACACATGCAAAAATATTTTCCCTAACAAATTAATTCAAGACCATGCTGCAAAAATGAATACACCCCAATGAAAGTCTTAGGAGCAAAGTTAAATGTTAGACAACAAAATCCTAATTAACTTCAATCAACCACAGGTGAGTCTAATAATTCAATAAACAGGTGTCCAGCAGACAGTTGATTATAAAAGGGCGTTACTTAACAAAGAAAACCCCTTCCCATTTCATGCTGTCAGCAATGGCACCACATTGAAGAGAAATGTCATAAGGCCTGAGAAAGAAAAAAAATAAAAGGTGAAGGCTACAAGAATATCAGCAAAGCTTTACTTATCAGTCAGAATACTGTAGCAAAAAGTGTACAAAAATGTAACAAAAATGGAACTGCAAACATCTCACAGAGATGTGCAGGCCATCCACGGAAGTTAACACCTTGACAGCTGTGTCTTCTGTGAGAAACGTTGAAGAAAATCGCCATGAAAGTTCACTGCAGTTGGCTAAAGAAGTAGAAGGGCAAGCTGGGGGGATTGTTTTCCCTGACACAATACGGCGTACAGTGCAGAGGAATGGCATGCATGGGTGTCATCCACAAAGGAATTCTCTCCTAAAGCCCATGCACTAAAAAGCCCGCCTAGAATTTTCCAGGGCCCATGCAGAAAAAGAAGACTACTTGGACTCTGGAGTGATGAGGCCAAGATCAATGTTTTTGGAACTGATGGCTTCAAAACTGTATGTCTTCACAAAGGTGAGTAGTAGTATTATTATACAGTATTTATAAAGCGCCAACAGTTCGCTCAGCGCTGTACAATATAATGGGAGACAATACATGCGACAGTACAATAACAATACAATGCGATACACGAGGGGTTTGAGGGCCCTGCTCCTTGGAGCTTACAATCTATGAGGGAGGGGATAGTGGTACAGGAGGAAAAGCTGTGGGGGATGGAGTGGTTTGTAGGAAGAGTGGAGGAGGCCAGCAATTAGCAGGGGGTGGGGTAGACTTCCTTGAAGAGGTGAGTTTTCAGGGTGCGCCTAAAGGAGAGGAGAGTAGGTGATAGTCTGATGGATTGGGGTAGGGAGTTCCAGAGGATGGGTGACGCCCTGGAGAAGTCCTGGAGGCGGGCATGGGAGGAAGAGACCAGGGAACTAGAGAGAAAGAGGTCTTTTGAGGAGCGGAGAGTGCGTTTTGGGTGGTATTTGGATGTTAGGTCGGTGATGTAGTTTGGGGCAGTATGATGGACAGCTTTGTACGTCAGTGTTAGGATTTTGAATTTGATACATTGGGCAATAGGAAGCCAGTGGAGGGATTAGCAGAGGGGGGTGGTGGAAACGGAGCGGTTGGTAAGGTGGATGAGTCTAGCCGCAGAATTCAGGATAGACTGAAGTGGGGATAGTCTGTGGCGAGGCAGGCCAGTGAGGAGAGAGTTGCAGTAATCGAGTCGTGATACGATGAAGGAGTGGATGAGCTGTTTAGTGGTTTCTGGGGTTAGGAACGTGCGTATTTTGGCGATGTTGCGGAGGTGGAGTCTGCATGAGTTTGTTAGTGATTGGACTTGGGGCTGGAAGGATAGATTGGAGTCAAGAATGACACCAAGTACTCTGGCCTGTGGGGCGGGCCTGATGGTGGCATTGTTGGACGTGATGGAGAAGTCAGTAGGGGGGTGGTGTGCGGGCTGGGGGGAAGATTAGGGGCTCAGTTTTGGAGATGTTCAGTTTAAGGAAGTGGAGCGACATCCAATCTGATATGTCATTCAGTAGGCTTGTGATTGGGGTGGAGACAGAGGGGGTGAGGCGAGGAGCTGAGAGATAGACTTGCGTGTCAACGGCAAAGAGGTGGTAGTTGAAGCCGTGAGAGTGTATGAGTTGGCCAAGGGAGGAGGTGTAGATGGAGAAGGGGCCCGAGGACAGAGCCGTGAGGGACCCCAACAGAGAGGGGGAGTGAAAGGGAGGTGGCAGCATTATAGGTAACGCTGAAGGAGCATTGTGATAGGTAGGACGAGAGCCAGGAGAGAGCGGAGTCTCTGAGGCCAAGGGAGTGTAGTTTTTTGAAGAGGAGGGGGTGGTCGACTGTGTCAAAAGCCGCGGAGAGGCTGAGGAGAAGGAGCACTGAATAGTGGCCGTTAGCTTTGGCGGTTAGCAGGTTGTTGGAGAGTTTGAGTAAGTAAGTTTCGGTGGAGTGTAGGGGACGGAAGCCAGACTGTAGGGATCGAGTACAAAGAAAAATGCATGGTGCTTACAGTGAAACATGGTGGTGTCCTTCTGTGGGGCTGCATGAGTGCTGCTGGTGTTGGGAAGCTGCATTTCATTGATGGTGTCATGAATTCACAGATGTACTGCTCTATATTAAAAGTGAAGATGCTACCATCACTCCGTGCCCTTAGTCGTGCACTTTTCGAACATGACAATGATCCAAAACACACATCTAAGACCACTATTGCATTTCTGAAGAAGGACAGGATGAAAGTGATTCAGTGGCCAAGTATGCCTCCTGATCTGAACCCAATTGGACACCTATGGGGAATTCTGAAGAGACAAGTTGAGCATCACTCTCCATCCAGCATCCAGGCTCTAAAAGCGGTCGTTCTTGAGGAATGTAAAATGATAGATGTTGCAATATGTCTCCAACTTGTTCATTCCATGCCTAGAAGACTTGGTGCTGTCCTTACAAATCATGGAGCTCATACAAAATACTAGATGTAGTAGTTTTTGTTGTGGGGTGTATTCATTTTTGCATCAACTAATTTGATTTTAACTGACGATTTTGCAATCCAAGTTATATTATTAACCTTACTTTCATGTAATGAGCTAAATAAATGTTCTATAAAACTCAAAATTGTGGAAATTGTTCTTGTGTTCATTGAGATATTGATTAAAATCTTACTTTTCAAAAGGGGTGTACTCATTTATGCTGAGCACTGTAGTACGAGCCTTAGTGGCCAGCAGAGGCTATCACATTAAAATGGGGATCTAGGTGCCGGGGATGTTGGGTTTAGTTATGAGTCACCAATAAGGCATTGTCCTATGAATGGTGCATACCTTTGATTGCAAACTGAGAATTGTCAGACAGATTTTAAAGCAGATTTTTAAATTGGCTCAAATGACATCTATTAATTATAACATGCTCTGAAGACTCGTAAA